ATGATGAATGTCATGTGGATGATCAAAATCTATAAAGTGTGCGTCAAAGTCATCTCTCTCATCAGACAAGAGAAAGCCAATAATAGTCTTCAGGATGGAAAACTTGATTAAAGGTGAGATTTGTCAGGCACCTTTGTTTAAATAAGCAATCTTCATTACTACCCAGCATTGTATCTACTATAGGACAAATTGGCATGTTCTTGTGCTTCTTTATGAATTATGATAGTTATTCACAGTTACAGTGTCATATTGTCTTCTTTTTAGAAGAAACCAAATTTAGTCTTCATTCCAAGATTTTCTCTTTTCCTCTGCATTATAAGCATGGATACAGTCTTAAAGTTTTAAGTGAAAATTGTAGATATTAGTGGCGAATCTTTTCAGAAATCTTGTAGCCTTTTTTAGTATTTTTCTCTGTGGAAAGATGACTGTGATAATTTGTGCCCTTGGAGCACTGCCACCTTTGGTGAAAAGATAAGAACTGCTTCCAAACCTGTAAATAACACTCAACATTCTTTTGTGTTGTACTCTTTTCTTATATGGGATTTTATTTCCAAACTGTTGACATGATATTTCCCTCAGATTATTAAAAATGACATTTTCTATTTTAGATATGCAATCATCTATTAAGGATGGAATATGTTACTCATTTGAAGATTTTTCATTAGCTTGGTCATGGAATATACTTCCTGCATTTTAAGATTTTTTTTAGATGTCACTTATTTCTATTTTAGCATTTTATCAACTCATTTCTTTTTATTTTATAGTAAGGCTTAAGGCAGATACTATGGACCTCCTTTAAGAATGAGATTCTTCTAAGAGTGAACATTGACAAATGACTGGGTGAGTGATAGTGAACCTTTAAGAGCTTTTTGTGATACAGACAACGCTGTGGCCTGCATGTCATAGGTTCACCACCGGTGCACTAGGCTAATACTGTAGAAGTGATTAAGAAAAACATGTTTGGATGGGAAAATGGGTGTACCTTGAGACCATAAGATTAAGTCAAATAAATCAGATATACAAGCTTAAACATCACATGGTTTCTTACATATGAGAAATTCAAAGCATAAACATTTAGAGGGAAAAATACTAGATAATAGAAACAGGGATTCAAATCTTCTGCAAATGGAAAGAGGACCATGAGATAGGAAGAGGGGGTGGGGGGAAGAGAAGATGAAAAAGAGTTACGATGTGCTATGTATATCTAACAACTCCCCACAATGCATGCTCTGCAGTCATTATGCATGTAAACATGGATTAATAAAAATAAAAATCTTAAAAGAAAGAAAAACATGTTTGGACACTATTGTCTGGCTTCATTTTGTAAAAGAAAAATGTATTATTTATGTTTGCAAAATCTCCTAAGTTCAGAACCTGATATCATGAGTATAGTCTTATGAAACATGTTTTTGTCATACTCCTGAAAAGGGCCTCTTGATGAGACCAAAATGACAAAATAATCAGTGTTCATGTTTTCTCAGTATTCATGTTTTGACACCCTTGCTCAAACAACACTTTGAGTGCATTGAACTTTTGTCTTCTTAAAAGAGCAGGAAAGAATAAGATATTTTAATCCAAGTATTATGGTTATCAAAATTATTGTCTTACATGAAAATAAATGAGGGGCTGGGGAGATGGCTCAGTAGTATAAGTGCTTCCCTGGCTTCCCTGGTAAGCGCAAGGGCCTGAGTTCAATCCCTAGTTCCACCAAAAAAAAAGAAAAAAGAAAAAGAAAAAGAAAATAAACGAGTGTGTGTGTGTGTGTGTGTGTGTATGCATGGGTGTGTGTGTTTTGAATTTTGCAATCCTAATATAGAATTATTTATCTTTTGTTGCCTTTATTTATTTTTGTCAAATACTTGACTTTAATGATTGTTCTTAACCCAAGGAAAAAATTTAATTCAACTAGCTATAAATACTTGAACTTAATTGAACCCTACTCAAAAGATTTAATTCATTCAGTTTCCCAGTTTGAAGGAAAATGTTCATTCATTTTCATTGTTTGTCTTATGATAATGAAAGGAGGCTAGTTGAATGTAACCAAGATTTTTAATTTAAT